TACCATTATTTAGTAATGTTACCAGTGGGATGCCACAAGGATCAGTTCTTGGCTTGGTCATGTTTCTAATTTGAAAAAATAACTAGCCAGAAGGAAGAAGAAACTTAAGAATTTGTCTGTAAATGATGGAAAGATCCATCGTTGTTATTGGTCATTATTTTTCTCTGTGTAAGACATGTAAGTCAGCATACTAGTCTTTAGTTTGGCACTTCTTTGTCTGTTTTCTTTTTGGAAGATTTGATTGCAATTGCAGTTTTCCAGCTTTCAGACCGCTCTCTTATCTCTAGTAACTGTTCTTGTAGTTCCCTGTTAGTGGCTTGCACAGTATCTCTGCATTCTCCTTCAGCATCAACATTGAGATTTAATTTGGTCTAATTGCTCTTGATGCTGATACAAAAGTGTAAAGCCGTAAAATTACTGTGGGATTCCTATTACTTATACTTCTTAGTATAAATCCCAGTAATGTTAGCTTTATTGTTAATACTTAGGCAATGTTGTCTTGGCTTTAGATTTTTGCTTACCATGACTCTCAAGTCTTTTTTTTTTTTTTCACATTCTGTATGATCTAGCTCTACATCACCTAGTTTATAAGTATGAGGGGTTAATGTCATTCCCAAGAATTAGGACTTTACACTTGTTCACATTTAACTGCATCTGCCACTTTTCAGACCATGACTCTATACTTCGTTTGAATTTTCTTGAAGTTCAGTGGTATCCTCCTCAGAATCTATTTTTCGACTTCTTATTGTGTCATCAGCAAATTTTCTCATGTCCTTGTTATTCATGAAGGTCAATAATTTATCACATGAACAAAACTGGGCTTAAAACTGATCCATGTGGAATGCCACTAGCATCTGGTTTCCATTCAAATTTCACCCCATTTAGGAAGACTTCGCTTTCTATTAGTCAGCCATGCTTTGATCCATGTTGAAATCTTTCCTCTTATACCATGAGCTGCCACTTTTCTTAACAGACCTTTGTAAGGCACTCTTTTGAAAGCTTAACTAAAATCCAAATAAACAAGTCTTATATCATGGTCCACTGCCTCAAATGCTTTATTAACCCTTTGAGGGTCGACAGGCCCTCTCCGAAACTCGTTCTCAGGGTCGGCCAAATTTAAAAAAAAAAAAAAATTATTTTCTCTTATGAAAAGATAGAGAATCTTTTCCCGATCATAACGACACCAAAAGTTTGAAATTTGATAGAAAACTTACGGAATTATGCTCTCGCAAAGTTAGCGGTCTCGGCGATGTTTACGGATCGGCGATTTTGCCCACTTTGAGCCCCATTTTCGGCCAATTTCACTGTACTAGTCGACAAAAAACATGAATATTTCGCTAGAACTTCCATTTTTTCTATCGAATGGGTGCAAGAAACCACCCATTTATAAATTCAACTATCCAGTACAGTGGTCAGAATTTAGCAATTTTGCCAATTTCACACAAATTTCAAAAGATGCCAATTTCGGAATAGGGTCCAGAATAAACAAGAAAGACATTCCTGGCACTAAAATGACATTTCCTCTAGTCATTAGTCACGTCTCAAGGCCCCTCTTATATTCTTTTGCTTTCCACTTTGAATTTTTATTCTCACAAAAAATATAAGATTTACTGTTATGCAGACTACAGCATTAGTGTAAAAAATGGCATAAATATTATTGGTGCACTTGTGAAAGAATATTAGACTCACCAGTTGACGTGTATTGCACGCTTGGCACGATTTGTTTACTTTTGAAGTTTGGTAAAAATCGAACATTTCTGCTACTTTGAGCTCAATTTCAAGGCACCTTTCATTGTAAAACCAGTCAAAATCATCTCAATTTCAGTAATATGTCTTCCATTCTATAAAATGAGACCAAGAAAACTAGAATACAACAATAAATACCATACGAAAATACACTGCAAAGTCGCTGATTTATTAAAAAAAAATGGAAAAAGTTTTTTTTTTCTCATTATGCACTGTGTGCTGCAGGATTTTTTTTAGACTGTGCACACTGAGCACATAGACCCATTCTTTCATATGAAGGCCTACCAGCTTTCTCCCACTAGATTTGAGGTCGCTAGAATTTATGAGTACTAGTACATCAAAAACCCCTACGCGTAAGACGTACTAGTACGACGAAAACCCTCAAAGGGTTAACCCCTTGACTGTCACAACCCCCAATCCTGAGGTGTCTCCTGGTGTCGCAAAATTTAAAAAAAAAAAAAAAAAAAATTGTAATGATACCAAAAAAAAACGAAATTTGATGGAAAACTGACGGAATTATGCTCTCGCGAAGTTAGCGACCTCGGCGATATTTACAAATCGGCGATTTCGCCCACTTTGAGCCCTATTTTCGGCTAATTCCATTGTTCCAGTCGACCAAACTCATAGCTATTTCTTTAGAACGACATTTTTTCTATCGATTGAGTACAAGAAACTGCCCATTTACCGATTTCAACTACCCAATAATGTGGTCAGAAATTTGCAATTTGGCCAATTTCACAAAAATTAAAAAATATGACAGTTTCAAAATAAGGTCCAGAATGAACAATGCAGACATTCCTGGCTCTAAAATAACATTTTCTTTGTTCATCAGTCACATCTCCAGGCCCCTATGATATTACTCTTGCTTTCTATTTTGAATTTTTATTCAAACAAAAAATAGAAGACTTACTATTATGCAGGCTACTGCAATACTGTAATAATTGTATAAATAACATCAACCCATTCATGACTGCATACTAGAATGGCTAGTTGGACATTTATTGGACAATGACATCATTTGTTTACCTTTGAACATTGGCAAAAATCAAACATTTCCCCTACTTTGAGCTCCATTTCCAGGTTCTTTTCATAGTAAAATCAATCAAAATCACCTCTATTTCTATAACATATTTTCCATTCTATCAAATGAGACCAAGAAAACGAGAATACAACCATAAATACTATACGAAAATAGACCACAAAGTCAGCATTTTAATTAAAAAAAAAACGGTCGGAGTTTTTTTTTTTTCTCATTATGCACTGTGTGCTCCAGGATTTTTTTTATATGGTGCACACTGACCACACAGACCCATTCTCTCACATGTGGGCCTACCAGCTTTCTCCTGCTTGATTTGAAGCTGCTAGAATTTATGAGTACATATATATACGTCAAACATGATACCTCGTAAGACGTATATATACGGCCACGACAGTCAAAGGGTTGAAGAATGACAGCAAATTTGTTAGGTACAAATGCCCTCTAGTGATACCGCTTTTTTCACTAATTGCGTGATGAAACAATACGGCTCTTCTCCCTTTTCTCATATGTTAGGGTAAAATGTAATGTTGTGGGAGTGCAGGTGTTAACTGTTGAACAGTCAGTGGTGCCATTGTCCCAAGGAAAACAGTGGTGTGAAAGTGGTGTAGGCAGTGACTACAAGGTAGATGATGCAGGAGTGTCGGTGGTGAATTCCATGCAAAGTGCATGTAGATCTTGTGGATTTTATGTGGTTGTGCATCAGTCATGAATTTTTTTTGCAGGTATGTATTAATCCTTTCAGGGTCCAGAAGCCAAATTTCAAAGTGCACACCAGGGTCCAAGAATTTTCAAAAAATAATTTTGTTATTTTTTCTTATGAAATGCTAGAGAATCTTTTTCTGAAGGTAATAAAACAAAAAGTATGAAATTTGATGGAAAATTGACGAAATTATGCTCTCACGAATTTTGATGTGTCGCCATATTCTTAGCTATTTCACTACTATTACTTCTATTCTATCGATTGAGCACAAGAAATTGCCAACTCAACTGTTTCAACTACAAAATAAAGTGATTGGAAATTAGTAATTTGTCCAATTTAATGCAAAGTTCAAAGTATTCTAATTTCAAAATAGGGTCCAGAATAAACAATGCAGGCATTCCTGGCACTAAACTAACAATTACTCTGTTCATTAGTTACGTTTTCAGGCTTTACAAATGAATTCCATTTTGATTTTTTATTCACATAATGAATTCTTATTCAAACCAAAAAATAGAAGATTTACTGTTATGCAATATTGTAATGATTGTGTAAATAATATCACCACATTTGTGAATGTATATTAGACCCACCAGCTGGCGTGTATTAGATGTGTGAGGTCATTTGTTTACTCTTGAACATCGGCAAAAATTTAACATTTCTGCTTTTTTGAGTTCAGTTTCAAGCAATTTCCATTACTAAAACCAATCGAAATCTTCTCTATTTCTGTAGTATATCTTCCATTCTATCAAATGAGACCAAGAAATTGCAAATACAACTATAAAAAACATAGGAAAAAACACTGCAAAGTCGCTGTTTTAATCGAAAATTATGGTCTCAGTTTTTTTTTTCTCATTATGCACTGTGTGCTGCAGGAATTGTTTTATGTGGTGCAAACATACCACATAGATGCATTTTCTCATACCTAGTCCCAAATTTACCGCTCACAGCTTATCAGAGTGAGCTGAGCTCATGGCGTACATCGACGGTTTGGACCCTCAACATATAGCCGTAGATCTACGGCACGGACCCTGAAAGGGTTAATGGTAAATTCTAGCTTTAAGACTCGAATCACAAATTAAACTTTTATTTGAGCTACTCCTGATTTTGGATGATGCTGTATATCTAACCACCACCTCTGATATATAGACAGCAGTAGAAGGCAATGTTTTCTTTATCACACTCTATTTACGTTTTGAATTCAAATACAGTACAATACCATATTAAGTTTGTGTCCACTCCAGTAAAATATTTCTATCTCCACTTCCTGCTTGCTAACCCTCCTAATTGAATAAGTTTCTTTATGAAGTACTGAACATCTCTTTGGCTCACTTTAGTGCCTTAACATTTTGTGTGTGTGTTTAGGTAAAATATTTTTACTTTACTATATTCCTTCATTGGGTAAAACAAATTTCTCTTGAGGTAAATTATACCAGTATTACAAAGGACTTAATAAAATAAGAGGGTATGCAGTGTATTGATAACCTCTCGGTAAAATGCTAAATCTTTTAATTTTAGATTGTCTACTTAAAGAAGACTCCTGAGGAGGCATACAAGCCTCTGATTGGTGGCAACAGTCCTCCATTTTGTCCTTTTCGGGATGCAGCTTATGGGATGTCAACGTACCACCTAACTCTGCTTGACTGCCTGCAAGCTATTGACAAAGCCTACAAGCTTGGGTTCTTCAATTTTGAAGACTTCGATGTTGAAGAGTATGAATATTATGAGGCAAGGATAATAACTGGTTGATGTAATTGTGTAAATTTCTTTGATTTGAATATATTTTGTCTACTTTCAAAAGTACCTTTTTTCTAATGTCATTTAGTAATGCATAGTATGTTGTAATATTATTTATTTGTATTATTCCTTTCATCATTAATAGAAAGTACAAAATGGTGATTTCAACTGGATCATGCCAGGAAAATTCTTGGCCTTCTGTGGACCCCATGCAGAAAGTAAAATAAAGAATGGTTATACTTTGCACTCTCCTGAGACATACTTCAGTTACTTTCGCAAGCACAATGTCACGTCCATTATCAGACTCAATAAGAAGATCTACGATGCTGCCCGGTTTAAAAATGCTGGGTTTGAACATTATGATATGTACTTCATTGATGGTTCCTGTCCATCTGATGACATTATGAGAGAGTTTCTTCGAGTGTGTGAAAATACTGAAGGAGGCATAGCAGTCCACTGCAAAGGTATTATTTGAAATTCTTTTTGTACTAAATATTAACTTTCATGTAAATTTGTTCAACTATAAAAATTTATTAAAATAATTGTAGGCTTATGTCAGCAGTGTTTCTTGTGTAGTACGCATCTTGATCATCCCAGCTACTTTATAGTAAGGACCCCTTGCTAGCTATGATGCCACGAGATTCTCTATAGAGTAACTGGGATGATCTGTCTTCAGTGTAGTACTACACAAATACATAAGTAACACTGTTGACACTTGGAGAATTGATGAATATGTAGCTAATTTTTGTATGTCACTTTAAAATATGCTTTCTAAAACAAATGGTAATCCATTAAAGTGTGATGAACACTTGTCATTGCTAAGTAATAACCCATGTGGAGACAGGAACATGGAAGATAAAGTTGTCTGCATATTTTGACCCCTAACTGGAGGACTCTAGTTGGGATCAAAATACATATACAGACAATTTTAACCTCCATGTTTGTATATATAAATTTGTACTTTTTTAAATGTTTATCAGCAAATTGGTTTTGTTGTCACTGATGGTACAGGTAATAGTAGGTTGGTAGACAAGAACTGTCCAAGGAAATGCTACCATCCTGCCATGTGAGTATAAAAGCCAGTTGAACATTTTACACTGGCAGGATTGCTAGCTTTTTGTCTGTAAGATATCAGGTAGTATTCACTTATCTACTTTAGTGTGCATCTAATTGTTCTTATTCTTAAAATATTACCTTTCCAATTTAGGAGGCCTGATTTCAGACCAGGTTCCATAGATGATGAATCTTGGAACTTCTATTAGGGGTTGATTTTTAGCTCCTAGACATTTATGCTAATCAGTATGCTTACTGCGTAATGAATGCTAGAACATATTCAAACATTAATGTTTTATAACTAGTGTAAGCGTGCCTCTGGCAAGACAGTGATGGAGTGAATGATGATTAATCCCTTGACTGTCGCAACCCCCAATCCTGAGGTGTCTCCTGGTGTCCCAAAATTTCAAAAAAAAAAAAAAAAAATTATTTTTTCTTATGAATTGGTAGAGAATCTTTTCCCGATTGTAATGACACTAAAGAAAACGAAACTTGATGGAAAACTGACGGAATTACGCTCTCGCGAAGCTAGCGACCTTGGCGATATTTACAAATCTGCAATTTCACCCACTTTGAGCCCTATTTTCGGCTAATTCCATTGTTCCAGTCAACCAGACTTGTAGCTATTTCTTTAGAACTTCGTTTTTTCTATCAATTGAGTACAAGAAACTGCCCATTTACTGATTTCAACTACCCAATAACGTGATCAGAAATTTGCAATTTGGCCAATTTCACAAAAAAAATAAAAAATATGACAGTTTCAAAATAAGGTCCAGAATGAACAATGCAGACATTCCTGGCTCTAAAATGACATTTTCTTTGTTCGTCAGTCACGTCTCCAGGCCCCTCTGATATTACTCTTGCTTTCTATTTTGAATTTTTATTCAAACAAAAAATAGAAGATTTACTATTATGCAGACTACTACAATACTGTAATAATTGTATAAATAACATCAACCCATTCATGACTGCATATTAGAATGGCTAGTTGGACATTTATTGGACAATGACATCATTTGTTTACTTTTGAACGTCGGCAAAAATCAAACATTTCCCCTACTTTGAGCTCCATTTCCAGTTTTTTTTATAGTAAAATCAATCAAAATCACCTTTATTTCTATAATATGTTTTCCATTCTATCAAATGAGACCAAGAAAACAAAATACAACCATAAATACTATACGAAAATAGACCACAAAGTTGGCATTTTAATTAAAAAAAACGGTCGGAGTTTTTTTTTTTTCACATTATGCACTGCGTGCTCCAGGATTGTTTTTATATGGCGCACACTGACCACACAGACCCATTCTCTCACATGTGGGCCTACCAGCTTTCTCCTGCTTGATTTGAAGCCGCTAGAATTTATGAGTACATATATATATACGTCAAACACGGTACCTCGTAAGACGTATGTATACGACCCAAACAGTCAGAGGGTTAGAATTTTTCTCTTTCGGGCCACCCTACCTTGGTGGTAAACTGCCGATGTTTTAATAAAAAAAATCCAAACATCTATTTTTTTTATATCAATATATAGAGGGAACATGTTTTAGAATTTCAATTTGAATCTGTGAGTATGAACTTTTAAATTTCATGAATTATATACGTAGACAATTTTTTTATTCATATTTTAGTCCCCCACCAGGGTAGGGTGACTCAGAAAAGAAACACTTCACCTTCATTCACACTATCACTGTCTTGCCTGAGGTGCACAGAAACATGGTATAATTTTACAGCCTCCCATAATTAGACTAGACTAAATGATGATAGAATATTGGGACACACGCTGGGTAAGAGAAAGATATTGCAAACTGCATACAGGAGGTAAGTTAAACTTTATATTGATTCAGGATATATATATATATGTACAGATGTATAAATCTATTAATTTTTGCATTGAATCTAGTTAATGTAGGATTTTTGTTTTCAGCTGGTTTAGGTCGAACTGGTTCCCTTATTGGATGCTATATGATGAAACATTTTCGATTTAGTGCTGCTGAAGTTATTGCTTGGCTGCGCATTTGTCGACCAGGCTCCATCATTGGTGGTCAGCAACAGTGGCTCACTTCGTAAGTTTTCAGATACATTATTTTAAAATATCAGATAAGCTTTAATATTTATTAGACATGTTCCATTATAAAGCTACAGTGGAACCTCGATATCGGCCGCTGCATTTATTGGCCGAATCGTTTTTAGGCTGAAATTTTGCTCTGTATTTCGGCCAGTGCCTTCAACCCGCCTCCCGCTGGGACACCGCTGCATAGGTGAGTCAGTCTCCCTGTCTCTTGGTGAATAAGCATATACAGTGGACCCTCGAATTTCGGCAGCATCGACTTTCGTGAAATTCGACTTCAGCAAGTTTTTTTGGCAAAATTTGCCCTAAAATTTCGTGATTAGACTCGTGATTCGGCGACCATCCGGTACCCGTCCACCCGTCACCACGCACACAAAGCCAGTCTCCCACTCCATTCACGCTCAGTGTGCTATTGTTTACCAACATGTGGCCATCACCCCGCGGGTTCATACATAATAATCCATTGTTTTTTGTGAGTGCAACTGCTAAATAAGTCACCATGGGCCCAAGGAAAGCTAGTGCAAGCCCTTTGGTAAAGAAAGTGAGGAACACGATCGAATTCAAGAAGGAAATCATTGAAAAATATGAGAGTGGAGTGCGTGTTACAGAGCTTGCCAGGATGTATGGCAAACCCCATTCAACCATCACTTCGATCGTGGCGAAAGGAAAGGAAATAAAGTGTGCTGTTGTTGCAAAAGGGGTGGATATGCTGACAAAAAGGAGATCACAAATCCTCGAAGAAGTGGAGAGGTTATTGTTGGTGTGGATTACCGAAAAACAGTTAGCAGGAGATAGTGTTAAGCAGTCGATAATATGTGAAATAGCAAGGCAGTTGCATGACGATCTCGTAAAGAAAATGCCCGCAACAAGTGGTGATGCTTGTGATTTTAAGGCCAGCAAAGGTTGGTTTGAGAGATTTAAGAAGCGTAGTGGCATTCACAGTGTGATAAGGCATGGTAAGGCTGCCAGTTCTGACAAAATTGCAGCTGAGAAGTTTGTACAGGAGTTTAAGGAGTGCGTAGACACTGGAGAATTCAAACCCCAACAAGTGTTTAATTGTGATGAAACAGGCCTCTTTTGGAAGAAAATGCCAAAGAGGACCTACATCATGCAGGAGGAAATGGCATTCCCAGGACACAAGCCTATGAAGGATAGGCTTACTCTCATGTTTTGTAGCAATGCTAGTGGGGATTTTAAAGTGAAGCCTTTACTGGCGTATCACTGAAAATCCCAGATTGTTCCAGAAATACAGTGTCGCCAAGAGTAATTTGTGTGTGATGTGGAAGGCTAACAGTAAGGCATGGGTCACAAGGGATATTTTCCTAGGCTGGTTTAATGAAGTGTTTGGCCCCAGTGTGAAGAAATACCTCCTGGAAAATAAACTGTCACTCAAGTGCCTCCTGGTAATGGACAATGCTCCTGGTCATCCTCCAGACTTGGAAGAGCAAATAGTGGAGGAGTTTAGTTTCATCATGGTGAAGTTCTTGCCCCCTAATACAACTCCTCTCCTCCAGCCCATGGACCAGCAGGTCATTTCAAACTTCAAAAAACTGGACACAAAAGCAGTGTTTCAAAAGTGCTTTGAAGTGACCTCAGACACTGAATTGACCCTAAGAGAGTTCTGGAAAGATCATTTTAATATCCTCCATTGCATAAACCTTATAGGTAAGTCTTGGGAGGGAGTGACTTCCAGGACTTTGAACTCTGCTTGGAGAAAATTGTGGCCAGATTGTGTAGAAGAGAAGGATTTTGAAGGGTTTTTGGCTGACCCTAAGGAGCCTATGCCAGTTGTGGAAACTATTGTGGCATTGGGGATGTCCCTGGGGTTGGAGGTGAGTGGTGAGGATGTGGAAGAGTTGGTGGAGGACCACAGGGAAGAGCTAACCACTGAAGAGCTGCAAGAGCTTCTGCAACAGCAACAGATCACGGCTCAGGAAACTGCTGCAGAGGAGGAGGAAGAGAGATGGAGGAAGGTGCCTTCTTCAAAGATTAAGGACATTTGTGCAAAGTGGACTGAAGTGCAAACATTTATGGATGAACTTCACCCTAACAAAGTTGTTGCAGGCCGTATTGGCAACATGTACAATGACAGTGTTGTGTCCCACTTAAGACAAATCTTAAAGAAACGCTAGAAACAGAGCTCTCTGGACAGATATTTTGGGTGACAGGGGTCCAGTGGCTCTCAAGTTGTTCCCAGTGCCAGTGTCTTTAAAAAACAAAGAAGGGAAGTAACCCCAGATAAGGACTTCATACCTGAAGTCCTAATGGAAGGAGATTCTCCTTCCAAACAATAGTGTACACCTTCCTCCTATCCCATCCTCCCGTCTTCCATCCACCCAGAAGTCTTCAGTAAAGGTAAGTGTAATGTTGTTATTATTTTTTTAAATGCATGTACTTGATTTCTGATTGTTTTCATTATGTAAATCTTTATTTAATTTGAAAAAAAAAATTATTTTAATATTTTTGGGTGTCTGGAATGGATTAATTTTATTTCCATTATTTCTTATGGGGAAAATGGTTTCGAGTTTCGTGAATTTCTACTTTCGGCAGGCTCTCTGGAACGGATTAATCACAAAACTCGGGGGTCCACTGTACTCCGTGCATTCATTCAAACATTTCCTTCAAATCCATTGGTTTTTGTGCTTGTTTATTATAATGGGCCCAAAGAAAGTTCCTAGTAAAGTTCCTTTGGTAAAGAAAGTGAGAAACATGATGGCATTTAAGAAAGAAGTTATTGAAAAAGGAGAGTGGTGTTTGAATGCTAGAACTTGCCAGGATGTATGGGAAATCCAAATCAACAGTCACTTCCATCCTGGCACAGAAAGTAGATATCAAAGAAGCTAATGTTGCAGAAGGGAGTTTAGCAGGGAGTGTATTCTCAGTGGTGACCTGTACTTAGCTCAGTGGTGACCTGTACTTAGCTCTGTGAAGATCTGTCCAGTGTGTTCTCTGTGAATCTGGACAAGATGTCCTCTCTTGAGCAACTCTACCAGCAGCTAAAAGAGGAGCTTAGGGTTGCTAAGCTTGAGATACAGCGATTGACGGAGGAAAACAAGAGGATTCGAAGTAATCCTCCTGTTGCTAGTCCTCAGGTCAAGAGAGGAACCTGGTCAGTGGCCGGCCAACATGGAACAAAGCTGAAAATCAAGAAGTCTGTTGGAATGGCGGAAGCAACGAAGATCCAGAAGACTGCTGTGGAGACTTCCAACCCAGTGTCGGTGCTACCAGACGAATGTGTGTTGTCTACTGGAAACGTTGAAATGAGTACCAAGGAATCATTGGCAGTGGAGGGTGAATTGACATCCCTTGAAACCCCAACGAAGACCATTGAAAACATCACTACGGCCTCCACCAGTGAAGGTAAGAACATTATTTTAGTTGGGGACAGTCAAGTGAAATTTATGGATAGGGCATTTTGTCTTAGGGACAGGAAGAGGAGGCAGAGGGTATGTTTTCCTGGGGCTGGGATGGGGGATATTGTTAGCCATCTGGACGATATGAGAGTAATGGAAGCAATCCTATTATCTGCCTCAGTGTGGGAGGCAATGATGTTGGCAGACGTAGGAGTGAAAACCTGATTAGCAGGTATGAGACAGCAGTAGAGATAATTAGGAAGAAGGGTGGGAACCCTGTGATATGTGGCATTTTGCCCAGGAGAGGAGTTGGTAATGAATGGCTATCCAGGGCAATTGGTGTCAACTGCTGGCTGGACAAACACTGTAAGGAAAATGCAGTAACATTCATGGACAACTGGGACCTCTTCTACGGCAGAAATGACAGGTATGCCAGGGATGGGGTTCACTTATCTAGGTTTGGGGTGGGAGCACTGGCCAACGCAGTGGAGGGAGCTGTTAGGTCTTTAAACTAGAAATAGATAGTGGTATGGGTTTTCGTGGAAAATCAGTGCATTCTGATTGTAGCGATAGTGTGAGTTTCAAGGAAACCAGTTACAGGCAGAATGAGGAAGAGTTATTGGTGAACATTGGAAAGCCAATGGCATTAGGTGATAAGGAGAGTAACAAGCATAGTGGAGGAACAGAAATCAGCAGGAAGAAAAAAGAGAAGGGAGGGTTTCTGAAAATATATTATACTAATAGTCGTAGTGTAAGAAATGAGATGGGCGAATTGAGATTAGTTGCGAGTGCAGGTAACATTGATGCTTTTGCCAAAACTGAGACATGGTTTAATATAAAAATTAGGGACACACCTGCTGAATGTCACATTCAGGGTTTTAAATTGTTCAAAGTTGACAGAAGTATTGGGAAGGGGGTGGGGTGGCACTTTATGTCCGTGATCGTTTAAATTGTTTCCTAAAAACAGGTATAAAGTCTGAAACACATACTGAGTCTGTTTGGGTAGAATTTTCAGAGGGGCATGAAAAATTGATTTTAGGCATGTTATACCATCCCCCAAACTTGGATAGAGACCAAGGAAGACTACTCTGGGAGGAAATTGTTAAGGACACAAGGCACGATAACGTAATTCTAGGGGACTTGAACTTTAGTAATATTGATTGGAATTATCTGACTGGGAATTTAGAATCTAACGACTTTTTAGAAGTAGTTCAGGGCTGTTTTTTGAAGCAGTTTGTGACAGAACCTACAAGGGGAAATAACCTGCTTGACTTAGGAAGGAATCCCTTGTTAATAATTTAGAAATTTCAGAGGAACTTGGTGCTAGCGACCACAAATCAATTACATTTAGCATTGAATGGAAGTATGATAGTAGGGATAACTCAGTAAGAGTCCCAGGTTTTCGCTTAGCAGATTACAATGGGCTTAGAGAACACTTATCTGTTGACTGGGTTAACAAAGAGAGCTATCAATATGACAGTTTTCTGAATACTATACATGCTGCCCAAAGAACATTTATCCCATATAAAAAATGAGATCAAATGAAAGTATCCAAAATGATAATAATAGCTCAAATAACTTTTAGGACAGAAAAGAAATTTATAGGCAAATGGAAAAGAGTAGGGTCATCTTAAATGAATAG